AGCCCCTGACAAGTCCTTCCCTGAGAGCCAGAGAGCTTGCTCGCCATCGGGATGTGAGCTGCGGCAGGAAGGATGTCAGCACAGGCCCGCTGGGCCTCACGACCCTCCACCTGCGGACGTCGCTCTCTGAGGGAGGACGCACACCCCCCGTCCCCGCCAGGTGATTTTCCTTTCGGCTTTTCCTACCCTGCCGTCCACCTCTGCACCCACCCCCGGCCCCAAGCACAAACACTGTGATTAAAAAGGGAAAAAAACTGGCTAGGAACCGAGAGACACTTTCTGAAGTAAATGCGAAACCACAAGAGGCCGGGCCGAGTGCCCGCGCGCGCGCTGAGACGCCCGAGGCGACGCCCGCGGACCGGGCTGGCGTGACACCCGCGGCCACAGCCCTCGGGCGCCTCACGACACCGGGCGGAGAGCTGCGAGGACTCGATCACGTGAAGGAAAGGCAGGCCTGAGGCAGAAACTTGGTAAGAGACAGAAGCCTTCAGAAGTGAAAACCCGCAATGAACATTGGGGGTTGGGCCCCAAACCTCAGAGGGATGGTTGGTGGAGGGAGGCCGTCAGGCAGGCAGACATCTCCACTTCACGTTCTGGAGGTCTGAAATGTTTGCTAAACAAAGAGCATGTATTTGTTTTACCACGCGCACATAGAAGGATTATGGAAGATGCATTATGCCTATCAGCTACTGCATAAAAGAAATTAAATTATAGCCCGAAGAAATTATAAAAAAAGAGCAGAGAAACCAGAACCGAAGGACCTGAATGCCCCTCTCAACTTTCTGCTTCTCAGATTAGTCACGTGAAAAATGGAGACATTATAATACTTACCAGCTGCGGTCACCCCAGGAAGATTACACGAGATGGTATGGTAAGTGAAGAAAGTACAGGGTTGGGTGTTTTTTCGCATTCACTCCCTTATCTCTAAACCCCCTAACTTTAGGTGGAGGTGGAAGTTTAAATGCTATGTTTCTTTGCCAAGGGACTTCCCGTCAGGCCATGTCCAGACAGCGTGAGGGAGCCTCCCAGCAGACACGAGAACCAGCTTCTTGCCTGGCGACCTCTCGGCCAGGAGCCAGGACAAAGCTCACAGACCCCCAGACATGTCACATAACCAGGTGTGTACACACACTTAGCAGCTACCTGTGGCAAATGTGGAGGCATGCCGACACCCTCGATGGGGCCTGGAAGGAGGTGACAGAGGCCAAAACAGATATACACTGAGGGGCTGGGAAAAGGGCATTGCCCCAAAGCAAAATTCAGCCCCAGAAACATCCTGCTGAGAGAGGGTCTGCTCTAAATCCCAGGGGTCCAGCAAAGTTTCCACTAAGCCCTAGTTTGCCTCTTCTTTCTTTATTCACACCTCACCCCCACCCACCCACACAAACTAACAACCACCACAGCCTTGGCTACCTCCCGGAGTTAGAAGGAGAAGGGGAGAAAGTCAGTGTGTGGTGGGGTGTGGTGGGGTGGGGACCCTTCCCAGAGTCAGCCCTAGACCTCTGTTCCACCAAAGAAACTGTACGGAAGGGGTTGACGCCATCCTTAGTCACACCAGTAACCAGCATCGCAGGCATGACTGGGTTTTATAATACTTTTTGCTGCTCTGGAAAAATGTCTTCACTGAACCTTGGTGTATTGGTTCTTGGTGTTAAAGCAAGTTTATTACTTAATCCTCCCCTTCGTCGAAGAACAGGCTGAGCGGCCCATCCAGGCCATCAGGACACATTCTTCTGTGCTACAAAGGGGAAACTTCTCATAAATGGGGCTCTGCCTTCCGGGATGGACAGGAACAGGCTGGGCTGTGTGCTCAGTGTGTTCAGTCCAGGAGAAATCATAGACGCTGGGCAAAAATTCACAGGTTGTGTTTTGAGGTATTGCTGGCATAGAGGCTAGAAAGTGCTTGACAGGTATTTCTAGCATCAGCAGGGATGCTGGAAAACATCAGGCTCAGTGGATTGTCACTCAATAAAGCGTCATGAGGCTGCTTGCCCCGTTCCACATCTTACCCCAGAAGCTCTGTGATGGGCAACCTCCTCATCGTCGGCTTGTCTTGGGAGGAGATGTGGGAAGAATAAACTATGAGAAGCAACTGAAAAAGACTTCAAGAGACCATCCAGACCAACTTCCTACCTTCAGACAGACAAGTGTTCCTGTCACCAATTTACAAGTGAATGGTAACTGGAGCTGGTGGGGCTCAGTGAGTCACCTAAGATTACACGGCCAGTGATGAAGAAGCTAGAGTGAATCCCTCATTTCTTCCTTCTGATGCCTGCTCTTTCCACTGCTCTGTGGCTCCCCTAGCCCAGGGAGAACGTAGAGGTCATTTCCTGGTCAGTGTGGATTTCTGCCATTCAGCCGTTATTCACAGATCCATCCATCCATCCATCCACCCACCAATCCACCTACCCATTCATCCATCCATCCATCCGTTCACCTACCTAGTTCAATAAACATTTACTAGGGAACTACTCTTCCAGTTTCCATAAGAGTCCAGGAAATAGAGGTAGGAAAATAAAGACACAGCTTTTGCCCTTAGGTGTTCAAAGCTTAGTGGGGAAGGCCCACATATACTCATGTACCTGCTAGACTCAGACTCACGCTAACAAGAATAGAGGCTTGGGAGGGGCAGACAAGATGGGGTGGGTGAGGGAGGGGCTATGCAGAGGGAACTGGAATGGAGAGGGCTTTCCCACTAGAGGCCCGGGAGGAAAATGCACCAGGAGTGATCTGGAATTACAAGGAAGCCATGCTGCCTGGCCTGGATGAGGTATACAGTAGGTGGTCTGGGTTAACAGAAGGAGTACCAACAAAGACAAATTCAGTGCCCTATGACCTCCTGGCTGACTCCACCCCTCAGCAAGTAAGAGAGATCTGAGGGGAAAGACATAAGGCCAGGGCTGGACTGTGGGGACCTTGAATGTTAGAGTTGGTAGTTGAGTCTTGGTCCTGCGAGAGGTGTCCTCTCTCGTGTCTGAATTGTGAGTCAGTTTAGGGAGATTTGTATAACTGATGTCTGTTCCTAAGCATTTCTAAAATATTCTTTCTGCCTAGCTTACTTCCAGTCCCTACTGCACCCCACCCCCACCCCAGGGTTCTGCCTCCTCCATCCTTCATGCCTAGTGCCCCAGTATCTACACATGTTCACTTCCTGGTTATTGTTTTTTGTGGTTGTTTTTGAACTTTGTGTGTGGCCAGGTTATAAGTAACTTATTTCATTTAAGAAGTCAAAATATGCTTACCTGCCTCACCAGATACATGCTTATCTCTGCTGGTACGAACACTCCCCTGTGATTACACCTTCCTGTTGTGTCTCCCCACGCAGTTGATCAGAAATACATCCACCCATGACAATTACCCATTCTGCCGGCTCTCTTTCCTCTGTGTAATTAGCTCCCTGTTGCCTCCCAGAGCATGGCACCAGCTCGAGTTAGGCCAGCTAGCCCAGAGTCCGTCAGCACGTTCCAACACAGACTCTGCTGTAGACAGAGCTGGCCATTGGCCAAGCTCTGGGGAGGGAGCGCAGCCTTCCTGTGGGCGGGAGCACTTGACCATTACAACAGTCAAGGTAGAAGCCAGTGGTGAAGACTTTGTTGCTCATCCCCAAACCATCCCAGATTATTATGTTAACTCAAAAAGGAAAATAAATTGTTTTCTCCAAACATTTAAAATGTGAGGGCCATCTTTAAGTGCTACTTAGCAGCAGAAAGAGTAGGTACAGGGTGGCTATTCTATTATTGGATTCAGAGCTCGTGGGATTCCATAATCTGTACAGATTAAGGACCTGAGAACTACCGTCCTTCACATTCCATGGTGGAAATAAAAGATTTTTCTTTTTTTCTTTAAGAAAGTGAGACAAGTGGTGACAGATGGAAAAGAAGAGGTAAAGACCGAAAGGCAGTTGTTATAGTAATTATTAGAGTACAGAAACCTCAGGACAGTCATTCATGACAAGTGTGTCTGTTATGTGTTATTGATAACTTTTGAGGGAAGGAGCGTACATGTTCTTTTTGGGTAAGTAAAGTAGTTCTGGGTTGTGTAGCATTATTTCCTGATATGAAAGATAAGCAGAAGAAACAAATAAATAGATATGAAAACTAGGACATTTGAATCCCTGTATAGAGTCGCCAATGAGATGTTCCATTATACTTAATCTCAGATAAACAATGAGTAATTTTTTAGTGTGTCCTAAATATTGTGTATTTAAAAATTCTTTACTGTTTATCTGAAATTCGAATTTAACTAAAAACATCCTGTATTTTTATTTGTTAAATCTGACAACCTCACGATTGCAGAAAGAATAAAAACTCTCAAAAAGCTTAGCATGAGAATGGCATTTAGAATGGAAGAGAAAGGTCAGTGAGGGGTCATCCAACCAACACCACAAAGGGTTTTTATGGAGAATATTGGATAAACACACAGCGAAGTGCGAGCTTCTTGCTCCTATGAAAGGCTGGCTTTGTTTCTTAGCAGGATGGAGGCTGCCCTCAGTAACCCCAATTTATAGCCAGATTGGAAAACTCCCCTGGAGTAGAACTGGTTTCCATGAGAACACTCTGGCTGCCAAATCCTCATGTGCCAGGCGTGCAGAGCTGTGGTCGGTGCCCAGGGAAGAAGGGCAGTTTTGGTGAGAGTTGGTAGATGAATTCCCCAACTTCAGCATCTAAAAAGTGTGTCTCAGACAAAGAAATGCTTGGTCATGCTGCATTAACACGTTAAATTGAAAACGCAGTGGTTTGACACAACAAAGATTTTATATTAGTTTCCTATGATTGCTGTAACAAATTACCACACCCTGGGCTTAGAATAACATGCATTTATTTTCTGACAATTCTAAAGACCAGATGTTAGAAATAAGTTTTGCCGGGAGAAAACCATGGTCATCAGTCTCCAGAGGCTCTCGGGAAGCCCCTGCCTTGGTATGTTTCATCGTCATGGGGCTCCCAGCATTCCTTTGTTTTACTTGCGTCTCCTTTTGCAGTTACATTATTCTCTCATCTTATTGTTTGTCTAATTTCCCTCTGCCTCTCCCTTTTTAATTTATACGAAATGTACATAGCAAAATTTATGATTTTAAGGTGTACACTTTAGAAGTATTTAGTACATTCACAATGTTGTCCAATAATCACATCTACCTAATTCTAGAAGATTTTTTTCACTCACAGTGAAGAACCTCTACCCATTAAGGCCCCCTCCTCTGGAAACCAATAATCTGTCTTCAGTCTCTATGATTCACCTATTCTGGATATAACTGTAAATAAAATCATATAATATTTGAAAAAATAAAATTTAATAAAAAGTGTGTGTCTTTAATAAGACTAATTAGCAATCCAAAGTGTTCCTCTCTGTACTCATTGGCCAATGTTTAATTTTTTAGGTATGAAAATGGGTAGATCTTTGGGCAAAGTCACCCAGCAGGTTAGCAGCAGAGCCGAGACAAGAAGCTCCCAGGTAAGAAACCATCATGCTGCGCCGTATGCCTTGGCACATGTTTCCATTCAAAACTCTGCTTCATTACTTGATAGCTAAGATTTTCATTCCCACCAGGTAAAATCGAACCAGATGTTTCCAGAGGCATAATTCTTTATGCATTGCGTATAAGACAGTTTACACAGCCCCCACTTTTTCAATTTTTTGGTTTGCCTGAGTCAGTTTATTTTGGAAAACTAGCACACTGCAGAACCATTCCAGCTACTTGGCTCTTTATTTGCAGATTTGTGAATATCTAGATGAGCTTGGTCCCTGCTAATTTAGATGTGGTTTTAGGTGGACATTTTTCGCCTCTTCTATTTGTCATTTATCCTGTCTCCATTAAGTGATTTAAATCTAAACCACACATTTAGTTGGGGGTTAGAATCTTCTTAGGGAATTACCACAATTTCTGTTTATTTTATTATGTTTCTATGTCTTTGATAAAATTTGGAAACATTCCCAAAGGCCTTCGGGTACATGGCATATTTTGAAAAACTACCTAAATCAACAAATTAATCTGAATCTGGAGCAGAATACCTTCTACAGGAGAGGGAAAAAAAAAAAAAAAAAGCATGAACCCAGACTGAGCTTCCTGGTTTTCCTTTGATGCACCACCCCTATCACTCAGCTCAGGTCTGCTGACCTAGGAGCACCAGACAATGCTTTAGAAATGCCACCCAAAGTGTGTCATCATCCATGTCAGAATCCCTGCTGGCACTCATAGTTCCCTTGCCCTCACAGATGCCTTTTGCAGGATTTCCAGAAAAAACTAGCCAGTTTCAGAACTCATCCTGTCATCCTTTAGATGTGTGATGAGAAGCAGTGCTTGCTTTGATCTGAGGAAACGGAATCTGCATTTACTTGGAAAGGGTACTTTGTAAACTCACATGGCAGTGGTGTGGGGTGGACCTGGGACCTGAAGTACTTCCTGAGCCACTACTCCATACCAGATACTGAGCTAGACAGCTGGGAAATATAAAGATGAATTTGCCCCCCTCTCCCCTCAAAGAGCCATGAGATACATAATTAAATAATTATAACACAAGGCAAAATACAACGCATGCCTTTAAAAAGCACAGAATGTGGTGCTTTTTAAGAGGAAAGAGAGAGAGGCTTATCCTGGGAAATAATCAGGAAACTGTATTTTAGTCTTGAAAGCAGCTTTTGACCGGCCGAGACAAGGGTCAAGGCGAACAAGACAGAAGGGAAGCATAGGGTGTGTGAGGAAGCTTGTCTGGTCCCATCAGCAGGACACAGGGGACAGCAGGGGCTGAGCCTGGAAAGGTAGGCTGGGTCAGGTGGTGCAGGACCTAGAATGTCTTAGTCTGAATTTCAAGGTGCCCCGTGGCAGTGAATGATTATCCTCACATCTCCTCTCACCTGGACCCTCTGGCTTAGTTGTCTACATCCATTCTGGGCTCTTTGTCCAGATGGGACACCTCTTGATCTGTCACTGTGTGCAGAGAGCTGCTGTAAAGTGACATTTACCTTCTGCTAAGTAGCTCTAGGGGACCAAAAGTTAATCTTCAAAACCTCAAGAGAGACAAAGAAGAAAGAGTTATTTTCCAGGAAGCCTGGCTTTTGAACAATGGTAGAGGCCCATCACAGTCCTGCCCTCGAAGTGACCCTGCAGGAGAGCCATTGTCTGTAAAGGCCAGAGCAAGAGTGGAGAGTTAAGAGGAGCCACTTGGACATCAGTGACCTCCTGGACCCTGGCTGTGGCCAGAGCATGGCTCCCAGGTGGCCGTGCTCCCCAGGAAAATTAGGTCAGCCATCAGCGCACTGGAGGACGTCGCCCCTTAGGGCAGGCTACGGAAATCATTTCCCACAACCTCAACATCTGTGTTCTCCTTCCAAAAACTGCCCAGAGAACTGTCTGTGCTAGCTCAGTGGGCAGGCTGCCCTCCCCTCTTGTTTACACCTCCCCTTTCACCATCACCCTTCTCCCACTCCAGACCACATCTTCGCACATACGTGGTCTCAGTGTGTGAAAATGTGCACCAAACAAACAGTGCAAAAGGCAGCTTAAGTTCTAAGAGGGAAGAGCCCCACGAGAGCAAACCAAAGGGAGCTTTCTCCGAGGAAATCCTAATGTGGTAGTGCTACTGTCAGCTGTGCTGCCCTAGCCAGTCACCTGCCTCGGGATCAGAAACAAGAGTGCCACTGTTGCCACCAAAAAAATTTCTTGAATGGACAACAATCGAGGAAATTTTAATTTTTTCCTGTCAGAAAGCAATTCTGATTTGTCAACTGGCTTTGCCAACAAGGAGATAACAGAGGTACTTTTTTGTTAACTGGATGTGTTCAATCTGCAATTGTTGAAAGCACAGAAGATATGTAGGAAAGTTCATCATTTACAACTATTAAAGTGGTGATGCAAATCTAGATGTCCACTCTAAAACATGCAGGGTAGGGCACAGGCTTATCTGCAGTTATTTTATGGGGAAGGTCCCTGGACCTTCGAGGTCTCTCCAAACTAACCGGTGTTGGAAGTTTGTACAAACCACTGATCTGAAATTCTAGTTTTGCCCTGCAGAGGGCAACATTGGTAAAATGTTACGGGGCTGGAAAAAGGATTTTTTTCTTTTTCCCTAGTGGTTCTTTTTAGGCTAACTTTCCTTTTTGGCCTTCAGACAATTTTAATTAGAATAAGAATGAGCTTTAGCATTTGTGGGCTTGAGGAGACAGTAACTGATCAGAGCAGAAAGGCCTCTGGGTCAGACACATTTTTCCAGGGCTGAAACAATGGTATTATTTTTTGCATTTTTAAAAAATCAATTTCTTAATTTCTAGAGTCTAACAGTGCCTAATACTAAGTGGGTGCTCAAAAAAGCGTTTGATGATTGGACAGTCACGCTACTTCCAGCTCCAGAGAAGCATTCGGTTAAACACATAGTACAATTGTGTGTCTGCAAGACTCACGGGTGTGGCTCACCCCGTCCCTGAAAGCCCAGCTCATTCAGATTGCCTGAGTCTAGCAGCGCCCAGAAGAGGCAGGCGCCACCTGTAATTAAAAAGGACTTCGACACCAGCCAACATGAAATGACCTGACTGTGACTATAGCTGTTTACAGTTCTTGCTGACTTCAGGAAATTATTTTCTGATGCCATTTCACTAAGAAAATCATGTGATTTCCTTATAGTAAGTTAATTATTGCCAGATCTTGAAGAAGTGGTCAAAATTTACATTTAAGCCTATGCTATTAGATAAACCATGTAGGCAAATAATCCACAGTTCCCACTGAACACTGCTGTGTCAGGAGTTGAAAGCTTCTTCAAAGATGAGACAGGGAAGGAAGATGAGGTTGAGAGAAAAATCATGAAGTAGTGAGTTTTGAATCTGAGGTGCCCAATTCCTCTTTCCAACAATGTGTCTGTCTACTCCCTGTGATGTCCCCCTCCCACCCTCTGCTAAGTGGCTACACACTTCTCTTTCTTGTAAAAACTGCCTTCAGGCAAATTTTAACTTGTTGAGTGTTGGTTGCCTCCACTAAGGCATTTGAGTATTTGTTTAGTTGGGGTTGAAATAGAAAGTTTTGCCCCCTGTAGAAGGAATTCCAGCACCAGGAACTGGTGTGGGAGGCAGCTTTTCCAGGCCGTGGGTTGTGCTGCTGGGACGTTTGGGCAGGTGTAACAGCAGCACCACAGACTCCACTCAGCCCTTCTGCCCACTTGCTTGCACCACGGAGCTGCTGAAACAGAATATCAATGTCAGGGGACCTGCTACTCTCAAGGAACTGAAAGTTACAGATGTAATCTACAGCAATAAAAACAACAAGATAGCTTTCCACTACCAGTCCTCTTGTGTTTTCTAAAACTGTGAGCATCTCAAAGTACTTACATGCATACCTGTGTGTGTTTGTGTGTGTATACACACATAAATATTGGACTATATATAGTATGTTAGATATACATATATTCACACACAATTGCAAAAATACAGGACTTACTATATCAGGAGCTGTATACCTTGCCAGGAAAGAATCTGTCATCACCACTACCAAGGCAAAGAGTTATTGATTAAACGCCCATGTTCACATGACCTTTCCCTGCGCATACAAAACAGCCAGCAGCTCTTGCTGAGTTTACCATGTGTGTTAAACACCAGCGTGGGCCCTTCCATAAAGGCAAAGGCAAAGGCAGGCTGAGAGATGAACAGCAAGGGTTAGGCCATTCACCAGATTAATGAAGACACGCTCGCTCTGTGGTTGATGGAGACAAGCGTCCACACTGCCTGACATCACGCCCTGGCTGTGCTCTATTTCTTCACTGGATGTAGGCTAGTTATGATCCTGCCCCATTGGTAAACTGGCTTATTCATGGCACTGGCTTATTCTAGACTAAACCACTGACTTCCTGTTTCCAGATGGTAACATCAAGTGCAATGGACAATACTTATGTCCTCCAAAAATTCCTATGTTGAAATTGTAACCCTCAATGTGATGGTATTAGGAAGTGGGGCCTTTGGGAGATGGCATTTTTCTTGCATGATCATAAGAGTGGATGGAGTCCTGATGGATGAAATTTGTGCCCTTAAAAAAGAGACCACAAAGAGCTCCCTCACCCCTTCTACCACATGAGGTCATAGCAAGAAGACAGTCATCTGTGAACTAGGAAGCAGGCCCTCATCAGACACTGAATCTGCCAGTACCTTGGTCTTGGACTTCCCAGCCTCCAGACCTGTGAAAAACACCTTTCTGTTGTTTAGCCACCTGGTTCTGGGTTTGCCAAGTTCCCGCAGCGGATAAAATCAGACAGGGTCAAATCTTGATCTGACGAAAAAGAAGCCCATGTTCTTAACTGACTCTGTTACACCAGCTCCTTGGACACACTCAGTAAATGTTTGTTGAGTGAAAAAATAAAAAAGGATCACATGAAGATCTTCAAAAAGAAGAGAAAGCTATTGCATCCTGTTGGTATCAGCCTTTATAAACAAGCATCACTGGTAAATACAATATCCATGGTTACAGTTAAGGTATT